TAGTAAACCGTCTATTACTAATATCAAACGTTTGGAAGAAAAATGCTTTACACACTCGCTTATTTATTAGCTGATTTTTGCAGAAAAATTTCGATGTTTTGTAGATCCTTGATTTCTCCTAGCAACTTCTTTCTTTTTTTATTCAAAACGATAAATATGCTTTTTGCAAGTCCTAACTAGGAAGCATATCAAATTTATCAAAAAGAGCTTGTCTGTCTACCTCAGAAATAATTTCGTTACACTTAAATCTACATGTATGAACAAAAGGTCTTAATAATTGCTTACTTTGATGGATGATGTTCTTGTGTCCTACATATTGCTTGCCTTCGGTTCTTAGCTTCTTTTTTTCATTTTTTTCCCAGATATTCCTTTTCATTTTCTTGTTTTACTTGACATGACATGTGTAGATTTACTAGCACCGTTTGACTCTGACTGTATAGATTCTTCTGTGGAATGTACTACATCATTGTCTTATGGTCGATACTCTTCATCTTCTTCCGTTTCATAAGGCTCTAACTCGGATTCATAGGCATCCAGAAAAAAAAATGGGAACATAACCATAAAATTAAAGCTGAGATTATTAATTTTGATCCTACCCTCTTTGCTACTACTAGCCATCTCCAAAAATACAAGGTAAAAAATATATTTCGGTTTATATAACGTACATTAAAAATTCTCTACACAAAAACTTTGTAAACACACAACGTCAATGAAAAACGCACTAGCCGCAACGAGTAAATTGAACAGTCTGATAGAAAATGTTGAGTGCACAAACGGTACAAGCATATAATACACCAACCCAACCCAATGTTGGGTTGGTGCATTCTGTGGTACAAGCGATATTATACCCATTTTGTTCCAACAACTATGCAGGAATTGTTAAGTAGGTTTATCTACCAATTAATAGATGGTTACACGTACACGTTGACGTGTAAAATTCTCTACTCTAAGGAAAAAACATAGTAAACGCTCCTATTTTCGACACTGCCCCAATTATCGGCAGTAATCCTACATAATCGACAAAAATAAGAATTCTTGCGCGTGATTGTCGGACGAAAGTATTTCACTAATTTATAAGGACCTTTATCTACGCCTATGAACAATATGCCAATTGTTAGACGAAAACTGCAATCACAACATTTAAAAATATATTGGTCAGTTGGCGCCAAACTCTTGTGGGAAGTGTTTCTTGTTGTACGTGTTAAGAAACAGGTAAGCTACAGAATGCTATAAGTAATGATTAAAATATGGAATAACAGTTTAATTATGTTTTATATGTTGAGAAATAGTTTATTTTGATTATTTGTTGGCCAAAAACTGTTTTTCTATAGCTTTTTGCAGTATTTTGAGGATGCCGATAATAGGTACGTAAATATTAGCAGATGATCCAATCGTCGGCTGGAGTGCCGATAATTGGTTATATGCATTGGACTGTATATAAGCTGATTTTAGCGTAATCTTTTAACTTACTACTACAAATTTTTGGTCATTATATGTAATAAAAAACGATGTTTCCTTGTACCAATTTTCGGCATCCAGTATCTCTAGTACAAATAGCAATAATTTGACCGTGTATAACACTGCCGATAATACATACCTATACGTGCCGATAATTGGAAATTCTTTGTTTTAGACTACAATTCAGAAATTAGCAATGGAAAAGAAAAAGCGAATTCAATATTCTGCGGAAGATATCAACAAAGCTGTTGTAGCTGTTCAGTCAGGAATTCCATTTAAAACAGCAAGCAAATTGTATAAGGTACCCAGATCGACTCTACAGGACAAAGTAAAGGGTAGAACTTCTTTAGAGAAGAAATCTGGACCTGGGACCACACTAACACAAGAAGAAGAAAACCTACTGGTAGCATGGCTATTTCGTATTGCATCCTGTGGATTTCCTGCAACTAAAACGCAGTTGTTGGATAGTGTTCAGCTATTGCTTAAAGAACTTAATAGGCCTAATAATTTCGTGGATGATAGGCCTGGACGTAAATGGTACGAACTATTTTTAAAAAGGCATCCCGAACTATCTATAAGAATTTCCCAAAACCTAACTTGTGCTAGAAACACTATAACAGAAAATCGAATTCGTCAATGGTTTATTGAAGTAGGGACCTTTTTAGAAAGTACAAACAATCGCAACATAACTTTTGATCCTAGTCGTGTATTTAATTGTGATGAATCGGCTTTTTTCCTGACTCCTAAGGGAGACAAAGTGTTGGTTAGAAAGGGGGATAGAACAGTTTATTCGTTTGTTAGCAACGACGAGAAGGAATGTCTGACAACTTTGGTTACCTGTAGTGCCTCCGGTCAAATTTTACCACCCATGATCGTTTTTAAATATACAAGAATTCCCAAATCAGTTATCGAGAAAATACCGGCTCACTGGGGGATAGGAAAGTCTGAAAATGGGTGGATGACTGGCGAAAACTTTTTTGAGTACATCGCTAATATATTCCACCCTTGGTTAGTTGCTCAAAAAGTGCAGTTTCCGGTTATACTGTTTTTGGACGGACACAGATCACACTTAACGATGACCCTAAGTGAATTTTGTAGTAATAATAATATTATTCTAATAGCTCTGTGTCCAAACGCAACACATATTTTACAGCCTCTAGATGTTGCAGTCTTTCGACCATTAAAACGTGAATGGAAAAAGAGCGTGCATCGGTGGAGAATGGAAAACCAAGGTAAAAAGATAACCAGAGATTCATTTGCACCTATTTTGGAAAGCACTTTTCAAAAAATGGTAAATATTCCCGATATAGTTAAGAGCGGTTTCAAGGGTTGCGGACTTGTGCCCTTTAATGTTGAAAATATTAAATTTTCTAAATACTTTAAAGAAGACGTGGGAGCACAAAACTGTCAAAGGATACAAGAACAACGACAACCTACAAAATTTCAAGTCGCCCTAAGAGTTGTAGAAGAATGCATCTCAATTGATATGCTGCGATTGTTTGAGCTTTCTGGGTCATTTTGGGAAGGACCAGTAGAGCACACCAGCTTATTTTCATTATGGAAGGAAATGAAAGTGAAAGCCATGAACAAGCCTTCCAATGAACTTCCAGTCGACTTTGTTACGAATGACTCATTTACAGAAGTGGAAATTCATAATGAAATGGGCGACCAAGAAACAACTGTAAATAACGAATTCAATGATAACTTAGAAAATGAGAACAACACATTTGCTAAGAAAGCAAATGACGATGAGGTGGATGTTACGGAATTGATTGACTGTACAAATTTATTTCTCCCGGTAGGCGTCGCTGAAGATATTCCTATCATAATTTCTAATCCATTCTCCTCCGGTCAATCCTCGTCACAGCAGCTTTCTCCACCTTTGGAACAAAACCTTCAACAAATAGAATTTCATAATACATTCTCCTACGGTAAATCCTCGTCACAGCAGCTTTCTCCACCTTTGGAACAAAACCGTCAACAAATGGAAACTTCCCAAGTTACACCGCCATCCATGAATCATTCAGATTCTAATACTGAGACAAGTTTGAATTTAGACAAGAAGTTTATGGATAATTCTATTCCAACTCCGTTCAAAAAAATTTTATTTTGGCCTACACCTAAGGAAAATATTGCTAAGCGTAAAGTGATAAAGGATAAGGTACCTGCCGTAGCAACTTCATCTCAGTGGCAACAATATTACAAGAAAAAAGAAGAAAAGAAAAAACAAGAAGAGAAGCTAAAAGTGCAGCGGAAAGAAAAACGCATCCAAAAGAAAGAATTGGAAAACGAAAAGAAAAAAAAAGTTGCTCTTTCACAAACTTTGAATAAAAGAATTTCTAATCGCAGGACAAAGACTAAATTGAAAAATGTCACGAAGGATCTATTTTCCACACAGGAAATGCAAGAAAATAAAAGCATGTTAATTAGCGAACCTTCAACATCTAAATCTTTACAGGAATCTTGGTATTGTTCATTGTGTGACACTGACGATCAGCTGGACATGCGCCTTTGTGGTTCTTGCTTGAAATACTATCATGAGGCTTGTCTTGGTCTAACTGAAGATGACAGAGAAGAACTGAAATGCCCCTTGTGTCAATGACTACTAAAATAATGTGTGTTTATTAATTCAGTTTGCTTAGATAGATACATTAAAAGATTTTATATTTATCTTTTGAAAAATACGTTATTTTATGTGAATTTTCAATTTAGTGTATTTACATACCTACAATAATTTATTTACTTCAATAGTACCTATCTAACTAAATATTTAGGTACCCTATATAATTATTCAAATCTTAGGTATCTAACTCATGCCGAAAAAAGGATCTTTGATGTGCCGAAGATTAGAGCATGCATTTAATTTAGAATGCCGATAATGGGGACTTTGGACACTTTTCATTTTATTAATATTTTAAATGTTATAAAATTGTTTTAGAATAAAATAAATATTTTATGTGTAATTGTGATAGATTTTATTAGCCCCAACTTTAATCTAAATACACGTTGTTCAGGTAATTTGGTTACTAAACTAATTAAAATGAAGCTCCATTGTGCTTAACGTGCTCAAGGTGCCGATAATAGGTTAACATTTACTTACACTCTAGTATTATTTTCTACACTTAACTCAAAAAATTTAAAAATGCCAGTTATATCCTTTTTGCACTAACAACTTCAATCAATCTTTAAATGACAAATTGTAAATTCTTCACATTTAAAATAAAGGCTTTAAGCTATCTTTATTAGAATCTGTTGAAATTAACAAATTAAAAAATACATACATAATTCTGAATGACTAACTTTGTTTGACATGTAGGTCTTTTTACACTTCGCTGTATATTAAAAACCACCATTAAAAATCCTTATAAGTATTATCACCCCCTATATAATACAAAACAATAGCCATTCATTTGCTTTTCTCTCCTGTACCAGCTTGTACCATGCAAAACCCTTCATTGACGTATACCTTGACACACATTCTTCACCATGACCTTTATTGATTAAGACTATGTACACAAAAACAGTGTAAAAACTACCCCAAAATGGGCGCTAGCAATTGCAAACCGTGTCGAAAAAAGAAAAAAACGTTTTCTGGGGGGTCCATACTCGATAGAGTTATCAGTCAAGCTTCTAATCAAGACCAGTGTCTTTTATACAAATTGGCAAATTACAAAAAGGGTAAGTGACACTTTTATTTACAAAATTATGATTAACTCTTTAAGCTTAATGACTATCTTAAATTTCATAAGAATTATCCTGGCGTCTGTTTGAAGAATGGAAAAGTTAATACATAGATAATAGCTTCCAAAAGAACTTGATAAATTCGGTTAATTTTGTTTGCTCCTTTCCTTTGTTCTGTTCAAAATTGAAGCTATTAACGTTTTACTGAAATTTTTCCAAAGTATACTACATATTCCAAATTTTATACTACATACTTATAACAACGCACCCTGAAAACTAAGTGTAAGTAAGTTTATTCATTATTTTATTTCCTTTTCTTCAGGAAGTGTGACAATACTCTAATTAAGGGTACCTGAATTCTTTCAAATTTGATAATTATTTTGTTGATTCTTTTTGATGATTTTTGTTGATACTCTTGTTCATTCAAATAAAAGTTCTAAATAATCAGTTTTTTGCTCTTCGTGACTGTTAACAATTGTTGCTTGTTTGTGAGTGGGTAGTATCAGGGCCGGACTGGTTCATAAAAAAAGCGCCAACCCAAACTCTTAAAAAAGGCGCCAACACTAACTCTAAAGAAATGCGCCAGATCCCGCCTAAACTTTTTACATCACACTTTTTTGAAATACTAATACATTTAAAGTAAATCAATATTATTTGTGAATTTTGTATAAGTTTAATTTTAATTTAAATCCATAAAGTAATTTACTATTTTTATTTAAATAATCAGTTATAAAGAGCACAGAAAACTCTACCTGTATATTTCAGGCCAATTGTGGATGTACAACTATTATATGATAACAGAAACAGCGGATATTGATACCTACTAAAGGCGGCCGAATCGTAAAAATGGTCTTCGAGGGCGGCGAATCTAGGCTATTAACACAAAACCCTGGGTGCCATTTTTGAGCTATGTTCGCTGGCCTTTGATTATCTGATACCTGATACGAGTTGTATTTTACAAAAAAAAACATGCTCAATTTAACCAATAAATCATCAAACGGCGAAATCCTAAGCAAGCAAAAACATTTTTTAGGGGAATGTTAGGGGTATGTCTATATCATCTTAGGATAAAGTTTCAAAAATGTTTTCAAAGTTAAATTTTTTATGTATATATGCTAACGAAGGCAAAAGGCGCACTGGTCCGAGGGCAGGTTGGCTTTCGTGCTAGTCAGGCAGTGGTAGTAATAAATACTTCTATATTAATAGTTGTATCAATCTATGAATATTTTAGGTCCACCTAAGACCAAGGAACACAAGTTTTAAGGGACACTTATTTCCTAATTACAAAATACCTCACAATTAATTTTCTACCAGAGATAAAGCTAAAGAGAAAGCGTTTATTCTCAATCTCCATCGGATTTTCCTTGTCACGTACAGATTTTTCACAAATCGCTATCTAACTTTTGTACAAAAAGACAGGACTGCTATACTGCCGTCGTGAGAAAGAGTGCCGTATCTGCATTTTTAAATTTTATTTAAAACCACACTTTTATGAGTATTTTAGGTATGCGGAATCGACTGGTGTATGTTAAAAAAACGTATCTGCATCGCAAGTTTATCAAAATGCACATACGTTTTTGACAATATGACGTTATTTTTCGATTTCATATCTTAAACAACCGTATCCAGCAAATTTTGTTTATATTGCCGTATCTACAACTTTCCAGTTTCTATCATACAATTCATACATACATTATTAGAGACGTTTGTAGCTTAGAAAGCCTTACAGCGCGTTACAAGCTTAAAAAACCGTAACTGCATTCGCGCGAAGTAGTTACGGCATTTTAAGCTACAATTTCATATCCGATTTCGGGGGTGTTTAGTAAATAAGTCAGTAATTTAGAATTCATTTGATAGATTCATTCATTTGCTAGTTTGTGTAACTTAAAAGTTACAATTATCCATCAGAAATATTGCTGGTAAGTAACCACTTATTATTATGAAAATAAATTAAAAAATTAAGTTCTTTACCTTTTTTGGGTCGCAAAAGTCATTATTAAAGTTATTTCGATTATTAACTTTGGTAAAGTAAGTAGTTTGGTATGGGTTTTTATTGCGAAAAATAAACGTGTACTTTATGTAAATATGTAAAGTCCGTTAGTATAACGGAGGTTCAACGTTGCGTCATAATAATGATCACATAAGGATTTTGGGGCATGTCTTTACTGTTAGCAGCTGTCAGACGACATAACCTAAAGTGAAAAAATCAAAAGAAAAACCTATTACTACAATCTTGACACCGCCAGTAAACGTGCCAAATCTCGAAGAGCCAGATGAAGACCTAATTCCAATACTAATTGAAACAGTTGTTGAAGATAAATGTGACTTAACCGATACTAGTTTACTGGGAGCCATAGATTTGTTTTCAGATTCAGAGGTAGAATCCGCAGCTATGTTGTTTGACATTGATCCTATTTGTGACAAAAGTACCGAAGCCAAACATATAAACCAAGATGATCAAGCATTTACTAAACCAGCTGAAGATTTTTTTGAGCCAGGTGATGCATTGCCTGAACATGATGAAAATGAACGGAAAACAGATACGGGCAATGAAGGTGAAAATAATGTAGAAAATCAAGAAAATATGGAACTTACAAAAAAAGGAAAGCCACGAAAAAGAAAAATAAAACAAGCAAGGGAGCCAAAGGACGTAATATGCTCAAAAAAAATACAAAAAAATAAAGAGAACCATAAACTTAGACCCCCGTGCAATGAGTCTTGCAAAAGAAAGTGTATCACAAAAATAACTGAGGATCGACGAAAGTTGATTAATGAAGAATTTTGGAATCAGGATTGGACAGCAAGAAGGCTATTTATTCTTCATACTACAAAAAAAATGGATGTAAAAAGAAGGACCGCAAATACATTAACTGAAGACTTTAGAAGGAATAAGACCATAAACTTTTACCTTAAAGATGAAAAAGGAGAATCTTTTCAAGTATGTAAGACTTTTTATTTGTCAACACTAGGTTATAATAGTCACAATGACACAATTATAAAGTTAGTGTGCAATGCAACGGCTATTATATCAGTGGAAAAAGACAAACGAGGCTTACACCCGAAACACAAAAAAGTTGATCGAAAATCCATATATGATCATATTCAAAAATATCATCCATGCGTGTCGCACTACAGGCGAGAACACGCCCCAAACAAACTGTATCTACCGTCTGATATAACAATAAAAGACATGCACTCTGACTTTGTGCAAAGTAATCCCACTGTTAATTGTTCATATGAACTTTATAGAAATGTTGTAGTTAAGGAAAAAAACATTTCGTTTTCACATCTCGGTAACGAAGAATGTGAAATATGTGAAAGCTTTAAGTTACATAATGATGCACATTCACAAGAAAATTTGTATCCAGAATGCGAAAACTGTCGAAAATGGGATAAACATATTAAACGTGCCAAAACTGCCCGTCAGATGTACAGAGATGATGTTCAAAAATCCATCGATTCCTCAACAATTTTTTTTTCCGCAGACTTACAAAAAGTCATTATGTTGCCACGCCTCGAGATGTTCAAAAGTGTTCTCTTTACACAACGTATTATAGCTTTTAACGAAAGTTTTGTACCCATAGGAACAAACTCTAAAGGAAAACCTTTTGCAGTTATATGGCACGAAGCTACCGCAGGACGTAAAAAGGAAGAGATAATTAGTACCTATTTTCAGTTTTTCCTTTACCATCGCGATCAAAAGCACATTGTACTTTGGCTCGACAATTGCTTTGGCCAAAACAAGAACTGGGCTTTATTTTCATTTCTTGTTTATTTAATAAATTCTGATCATGTTAGTACCGAAAAAATAACATTAAAATACTTTGAACCTGGCCACACTTTCATGTCTGCTGACAATTTCCACCATCAGGTTGAAAACGCTTTAAAAAAACAAAAAAAAACCTATGACTTTCGAGACTTTGAATCTGCAGTTTCAAAAGCCAACTCCGGAAAAGTCATAACAAAATCTATGGCATATTCAGATTTTTACAATTGGAAAGACCATTCTTCAAAGACAGTTTTAAATAGATTAAAACCCAGAGTATATATAGCAGATCTTGTGGAAGTTGTTGCAAACCGTGGCTTTCTTCATTTAGAATACAGAGATAGTTTTTTGGATGACGAACTTAGGCAGTTAAATTTTTTGAAAATGTCATTGGCCAAAAATAAGCATCAAATGTTGGAGCCTGAAAAATATACAACAAATCGGGGAATACCCACTTCAAAGCGTGATAATATTTTAAAAAATTTATCATCTGTCATGCCAAAAGACCGCCTCAAGTTTTGGGAAAATATTCCAGTTTCAGATACGTCCAATGATTTAATTCAAATTTTTGAATAAAGATGTTTTAATCAAACTGTATACTGTATGTTATATTAATTTAAAAGAATGTAGAAGTTAAGTATTTCATAATTTAATATATTTTGTTTAAAACCAAATTGCCTAATCTATTTTATTTTAATGATAAGATTTACATATAACCAACGTTTCTAAACCAAAAATAGTTTCTTAATACATAGTTTATTTTAGCTTTAAATACCGTAAGTATTGTTTTTTGCAGTTACGTTTTTTTCTTTAAATTTAGCAAATTTAAAAAGTATTCTATGGTAACTTTAAACGCCTTAAGTGCATTTTAAACCATTAGGAAAAAAATTACAGTTTAAAAATTATTTCCAACAGTTTTTTTATCCCAAAATTTCTAGATATAGCATATTTTAAAAGTCGTTAGAACATAAACTAGGGCAATATAGAAAAAAACACGTTTTTACTGTTTTCTCAAAACTAAGATTTTGCAGATACGGTACTCTCTCTTACGACGGCAGTATAGGGGCTATGTTTAGTAAATGAAAATATTAAGACGAAGAAAATAAAAATATCATTGGTTATAAGTAAAAAACTGACTCTATTTTAAATCTCTACAATTATTATACAAATTAATATAATGTTACTTGCCATTAAGTCAAAGGAAACTTCCTCTTTCTTAAGTTTCAAGATG